TTCACTCAGCATAATGTCCTCCAGAGTCACCCATTTTGAATAATATTACATGAGTTCCTCGTTTTTCAACGCAGCATAGTATGCCATTGTGTGAATGAATATACCACAGTTTCTCTATCCATTTGTTTGATGGGCACTTAGATTGTTTCCAACTCCTTGCTATTGTGAACAAAGCCACAATAAACATGGGTGTGCAGCAACTCATATCTTTGACATACCTACTCCCATTAACCCAGTCACCGAGTTACTCCTTCTCATCCAGGGTCTTCCTCTTTCGCACTGTCCCTCAACCCTTCCAAGCATAATGTCCTTCTCCAAGGACTGGTCCTTCCTGGCAACATACCCAAAGTGTGTGAGATAGATCTTTAAAATTCTTGCCTCCAAGGAGCATCCTGGTTTCAACCTCTTGAGAACAGACCCATTTGTTCTCTTGGCAGTCCATGGTAGTTCAATACTCTTTATCTGTCACCACAAATCAAAGGCATCGATTCCTCTTCAATCATCCCTGCTCATTACAGGCAGTACGAAAGAAGCTGAGTACAATCTCCAGTAACTCCACAATAGTCTCCATAAACAACATCCATAGCACAAAACTAATTCCTATGAGGTCAGTCATGCTCCTTGAATCTACTTCTACCAATTCTAGACTGCTGTTATGTTGGTATTGATTGTGGATCCAAGTAAAATTAAATCATTGACAACTTTAATCTTTTCTCCATCTGTCTCAGTGTTGCCTGTTGTCCAGTGGTGAAGGGTTTTGTTTTCTTGATGTTGAGATGTAACCCACATTGAGAGTCACAGTCTTTGTTCTTCTTCACTTAAATGTTCCAAGTCCTTTTCACTTTCATCAAGCAAGGTTGTGTTATCTGCATAAGGTAGGTTGTCAATGAGTCTTTCTACAATTTGATGTCATATTCTTCTCCATGTATTCTAGTTTCTCAAATGATTTGTTCAACATATAGACTGAATAGGCATGACAAAAGGATATAACCCTAATGTATATCTTTCTTTCCCTTGTTCTGTTCAATTGTCTTTTGATCTAGGTATAGATTTTGCATGAGGAAAATTAAGTGCTCTGGAATTCTCATTCTTCTCAGTGTCAGCCATAATTTGTGGTAATGAACCACAGTCAAATGCCTTTGCATATTCAATGAAACACAAATAATATCTTTCTGATAGTCTGTGCTTTCAGTCAAGATCCATCCAACATCAGCAATACTATCTCTGGTGGCATGGCCTCTTCTGAATCCAAGTTGAGTTTCTGTCAGTTCCCTATTGATTCACTCTCCTAGCCACTTACAATTTTTTTTTCTAATTGCATTTTTTCTCACTTTTTTAAAATTGAGATTTTATTGTAAAGTTATAAAGAACTTGGATCTCTATTCATTCATTGTTGCACATTTTCCTCCCTGACTCCACTCCCCACCCCAGTTCACTTTTTTCCTTTGGGGGAAAAAAGTTCTTTAATTTTTATACAGTTCCCCCCTCCCAAAGCACTTTACAATGCAGCTCTTATTCTGGCCTCTTGTCATACCAATAATACCTAATCATATATTCCTTTTAAACAGTTCCCTCCCTTGTCTGTTTCAAAGCCATGTGCATTATTTATCCCCTCTTTTCTTAGTTCCCCCCAACCCCCATATCAGTCCTGTTTTATAACAGTGGCATTATGCTGTGTTTGTCTTTTTGTGACTGAGATATTTCACTCAGCATAATGTCCTCCATGGTCACCTATTTTGTGTAATATTTCATTAGTTCCTTGTTTTTCAGTGCTATATAATATTCCATTGTATGAATATACCATTCCTTTGTTGATAGGCACTTGGGTTGTTTCCAACTCTTTGCTATTGTGAACAAGGCAGCAATAAACATGGGTATGCATATATCTGCTTGGATGGCAGTTCTGATTTCTATAGGGTATGTTCCCAATAGTGGAATTGCTGGGTCAAATGATATTTCTATTTCCAACGTTTTGAGAAAGTTCCATACTGTCTTCCACCAACAGTGAATAGGGGTTCCAGTTTCTCCACAACCTCGCCAGCATTTGGTGTTTGCTGCTCTGTTGAATTTTGTTATTCTTACTGGGGTGAGGTGATATCTCACAGTTGTTTTGATCTGCATCTCTCTTAGAGCTAGGGATTTTGATAATTTTTTCATGTGTGTGTTCACCATCTGAATACCTTTTTTGGTGAAGTGTTTGTTCATAACCTGTGCCCATTTTTCAAATGGGTTATTTACCTTTATCTTGTTGTGGTGCTCAAGTATTCTATAAATTTTTTATGTAAATCCCTTCTCAGATATGTCATTGTTGTTATGTGCCATCAAGTCGCCCTATGTACAACAGCCCTAAACCCTGCCCTATTCTGTGCCAATCTCACTGTCTCTGACACACCTACTCCCATTTCCCCAGTCATTGAATCAATCCTCATAGAAGGTGTTCCTTTCCTGCGCTGTCCCTCCACCCTCCCAAGCATGATGTCCCTCTCCAAAGACTGGTGCCTCCTTGCAACATGTCCAAAGTATGTCAGACAAAGCTCCAGAATCCTTGCCTCCAAGGAGCAGCCTGGCTTCTCCAAGACAAACCTGTTTATTTTCTTAGCAGTCTGTGGTATATTCAATACTCTTCTCCAACACCACAGCACAAAGGCATCAATTCTCCTATCATCCCTAGTCATTGTCTAGCTCTTTGATACATAGCAAGTGATTGCAAAGACCATGGCATGTATCAAGTACACCCTAGTCTTCAGACTGACATCATTCCTCTTCAATGCTTTAGAGAGGTCTCTTTCCCATTGCAATACATCTTTTAATTTCCTGGTGGCTGCTACCAAGAGTGTAGAAGTGTCATTACCAAATATTTTTTCCCAGTTTGTGGCTTCTCTTTTATACCCTGTTGGAGAAGGTTTTGGATGTGCATAGGGATTTGATTCTTGGGAGGTCTCATTCATCTCTTTTATCCTCTCCTGGTTGTTGTTGTTGTTGTGTGCCGTTGAGTCGTTTGCGACTCATAGCGACCCCATGTACAACAGCCCTAAACCCTGCTCTATCCTGTGCTAATCGCATTGCCTCTGACACACCCATCCCGATTACCCCAGTCAATGAATCAATCCACCTCATAGAGAGTCTTCCCCTCCTGCGCCGTCCCTCTACTCTACTCAGCATGATGTCCCTCTCCAAAGACCTGTCTCTCCTTGCAACATGTCCAAAGTATGTCAGACGAAGCCCCAGAATCCTTGCCTCCAAGGAGTAGCCTGGTTTAACCCTCTCTAGGATGAATCTATTTGTTTTCTTGGCAGTCCATGGTACATTCAATACTCTTCTCCAGCACCACAGCTCAAAGACATCAATTCTCCTTCTATCCTCGCTAGTCATTGTACAGCTCTCTGATGCATAACAAGTGATTGCAAAGACCATGGCCTGTATCAGGCGCACCTTAGTCTCCAGAGAGACGCCGAATAGGAATAAATATAGATCTCTTACAGTCAGCTGGCCAAGTAGTTGTCCTCCATATTTCTTCGCACAACTTGGTGAGCATGTCCAGGGCAACATCTGTTTGCTGAAAAACAACAACTGGTATTCCACCAGTTCCTGGGGTCTTATTTTTGTCAATTTCTTCAGAGAAGCTTGAACTTCCTCCTTCATCACCAATGCCTCTTGAACATATGCTATTTTATTAAATTCTTCTGTTGTCAGCCAGTTTTTTCATGGATCATTCAATATTCTGCCCATAGCATCCTTAAGTATTGCAATTTGAGGTTTGAATCTGTTCTTATATTATGTATACAGTATATTTACATAAAGGAGCTGTCTTGGCCTCATGCCAAGAAGCTGCACTGCAAACCTGAAGACATGTGGTTCAAGGCCAACAGCTGCTCTGTGGGAGAAGGAGAGGCAGTCTCATCCCCTCCGATTTATTGCTTCTGATAACCCACGTGAGGGTCAGTTCCACCTTGATAGTACACAACAACAACAACATAGTTACATAAACATGGAATTTGATCCTTCAATAGAATTAGAACAATTATTGCATAAGTTGTTAAGGACTGTGGAGTCAAAACCAACTAACAACCAACCCTCTAGCAAGTTTTCAGAGGCTGTAAATTGCAAGGCAGGAGACAGACTGCCTCTTTCTTTCCTGAAGCAGTGGGAGGATTTGAACCACAACCCCTTACCACAAAGCTACCAGAGCTCCCTACTGGATGTTTCTGTTGTTGTTATGTGCCATCAAGTCACTTGCAACTCATAGCAACCCTATGTAAAACAGCTCTGAGCCTTACTCTTTCCTGAGCCAATCTTATTGTCTCTAACACACCTATCCCCATTATTCCAGTAACTGAGTCAATCCATCTCATCGAGGGTCTTCCATTCCTGTGCTTTTCCTCCACCTTTCTTAGCATAATGTCCTTTTCCAAGGACTAATCCCTCCTTGCAACATGCCCAAAGTATGTCAGAGGGAGCTTCAGAATCCTTGCCTCCAAGGAGCAGCTTATTTTTACCCTCTCCAACATGAAAGTGTTTGTTCTCCTAGCAGTCCTTGGTATATTCAATACTCTTCTCCAGCACCACAGCTCAAAGGCATTAATTTTCCTTTTATCATTCCTAGTCATTGTTGAGATTTCTGATAAATAGCACATTATAGTGAAGACCACAGCCTGGATCAGGTGCCCCTTAGTCTCCAGACTGACATCGTTGCTTTTCAGTACACTGGTTATGTTCACTGCAGTGGACTTTCCCAGTGCAATTTGTCTTCTAATTTCCTGGCTGCTGGTGCCAAAAGTGTTGATTCTGGAGCCACGCAAACTAAAGCTGTTAACAATCTCAATTTCTTCACTGTTTATCATGATGCTGCTAATTGGCCCAGTAGTGAGAATCTTTGTTTTACTGATATTAACATATAGAAGATTACTAGATAAGTCATCTTTATAAAATTAATACAGATGCCACCTCATCTATTTTAATACTTCATTATATTATTGTTCAATAAGAGTCTTTGCAATCACTTGTTCTGCATCAGCGAGTTGGACAATGACCAAGGAGAATAGAAGGAGAATTGATGCCTTTGAGCTATGGTGCTGGAGAAGAGTATTGAGAGTACCGTGGACTGCTAGGAAAACAAACAGATTTGTCCTGGAAAGGGTTAAACCAGGTGGCTCCTTAGAGGCAAGGATTCTGAGGCTCCATCTAACATACTTTGGACATATTGTAAGGAGGGACCATTCCTTGGAGAGGGACATCATGCTTGGGAGGGTGGAGGGACAGCGCAGGAGGGGAAGGCCCTCTATGAGGTGGACTGATTCAGTAACTGCGGCAATTGGGATGGGCGTATCGGAGATGGTGCGATTGGCACAGGACAGAGCAGAGTTTAGGGCTGTTATACCTAGGGTTGCTATAAGTCGCAAGTGACTCACAGCACATAACAACAACAAGAGTTAAAAGATCTAAATAGTGTTGTTGTTGCTTTATACAACTGAGTCAACTATAACTCATCAACCCTATGAACAACAGGTCAGAACACTTGCCCTATCCTGCACAATCTTCAAGACCTCCGATATACTCAAGCGTGTTGTTACTATCACTCTGTCAATCCATTTTGCTGAAGGTATTTATCTTCTAGTAATAATAATAATAAAGTAGATAGTTCTTTTTGTCAGAATCAAGTGATTGACTTAACTGGTAATAAATGATAATAAAAGAGTAACCTTTTAACAAGGACTCATCAAGTAATATATGTCATTTAAGCACATTATATACATATAATTTGGCCCTTTATATACACAGATCAGCGCTATGGAGGAGGCACTAGTATAAACCCCATCACACATATGAAGAGATAAAGCCTAGGAAGATGAAACAGCAGGCCCAGGGCAGAGTCAGGATGGGAAATTTGGGAGTATGACTCCAGAGCTTGCCATACAGAGGGGAATAACTCAGCTATTTTCTACTTTCTGCCAAGAATTGCTTCTTATTAATGAAAAAGATAAGCTTTACCTTGATTTTTCTTTTTCCCCATCCCATTCTTCCTAATGATGTATAGTTAACTGTATCACAATCAAATTCAATAAAGATGCTAAACTGGCCATCAGGAGTAGGAGGGGAAAGAAGTGCAAAAGGCTCTGAGTGGAAAGAGATTAAGGTGTGACCTCCACTGTGACCCTTTTTTCTTGTGGTGGTTAAGAGTGGACAAGAATTGAGTTGTTGAGGGTCTGCAGCAATGGGTACATTGGAGTACATCAGAGAAGATGTACACAGAATAATGACACAGCATAGGGCAAGGCTCAGATCCACTGTTCACAGGGCAGCAATGGGTCACAGTCAACTCAATGGAACTTAACAACAACAACAACAACAGATTCAGTTGGTGGTATCAGTGTCAAGAATGGTGGTGAGGAGGTTTGTTAGAGAGGTTGCAATAATGGAGATAAAAGATGATGGCAGCTGGTACTATACTAGAGATAGAAGTTGAAACCTTAATAATTACAGCTGCAGAACTCACAGGATTCTCAGTTATCCAGGAATAGATTAGCCTCATGATCTATTACCTAGTTTAGTAATTCTTAAACCTTGGTAGTTAGTTAACAGAATCATCTAGGAAACAACCAAAAAATAGATGGCTGGCCCCATCCCTCAAGTGTTGAATTCAGTACCTGATGAAGAACAAAAGAATCTGTGCTCGCCCCTAACCCTCCAAGAAATCCTGATTCTCACCTAGGATTGAAAATGATGGCTTTCTACCATTATTGCAGTTCAGGTTTGTTCACACAAACCAGATGTTCTGTGCTGACTTCCCACAAGGCCTAGTCAGCATATGTTAAAAGCATGTAGATTGATCTCAAAGTATTCACACCACTGTAGGAAGCAGCCATTAGCATCCCAGATTCTGGCTGCCAAGCAAATGTAAGCCATTTTAGCCAATTTAACCTCACAGCAGGAGTACTGGGAGAAATTAGCTTTCCTATTCAACTGACTATTTCTGAAATAGCAGGCCTCTGAAAACCCTATGTACAACAGAACACATTTAGATAACAGAAAAGGCAAAGGAGGTTGAATTTTCAAGTATGGAAATACAAAGGAAGAGGAACAGTTGTAAGCAGACACTGGTGATTGGGACATGGAATGTGAGAACCATGAATGTAGGAAAATAATATATTGTTAAGGAAGAAATGGAACGCATAAATATTGACATACTAGGCATTGGTGAGATGAGATGGATTGGCATGGGGCATTTTGAGTCAGATGACCATATGATATATTGCTCTGGAGATGAAAAGGTAAGGAAAAATGGAGTTGCTTTCATAGTTAAAAAAGTCATTGCTAGATCCATCTTGAAGGACAATATCGT